AAAAAAAAAAAAAAAAAAAAAAAAAAAAAATATATATATATATATATATATATATAAAACTTAATGTAATGCACTTAATATAATAACATACAGCATAATCTGCTGTCACACCTACTGAAGCCAAATACCTCTGAAGATGAGATATACAGTTTATTTACCTGCAGCAACAGGAACATTCCTATCCAGAGCAGGTTATGTTCAAAGAATAAGCTGCTATAACTACTTATCCTGAAAGTTACTTCAGTTTGTTTTGAAAATGAAAGTTAAAGAAACTCGTTTACTCTGTGCAAACACACACGCTTTCTGGAATCCCCCAGGTGTGGGGTGTTTCCCGTTCAGAACAATATCATTATAGTGGAAACTGATCTGTCATTGAATAGGCTCTACAAAAACTACTGTATAAACACCAAAAGAAAATATGGCACGCATGCATGCATGTCTTTACTGCTCTTAAAGGGGTGGTTCACTGGTTTTTTTTCTTGGCTTGATTGGGTTTATGGGGTGCAGTCTGACATGCGTTAATGCTTCGTTTAAAAAAAACAACATTATTTTTCACATAATTTACCTTTATTCCACACCGCTCTGTCCCTTCTCTGAGAAACACGATGATCATTTCCTTCTTTTATGAAGCCCCTCCATCAGAAATAGGCGATGGGCTATGATTGGTTAGCTAGCCAAGTGTGTTATGATTGGCTAAAGCACCTCTAGTGCGCGTCTAAACGTGGATCGTTTCCTTCTTTTTTGAAGCCCCGCCCTCAGAAATAGGCAATGGGTTCTGATTGGTTAGCTAGCCCAGTGTGTTAACTTGTGATTGGCTAAACCGCCTCTAGTGCGGGTCTAAGCGTCCCACCCCTCTCCTCAGCAGCATGTGCTCCGGTTGTATTGTAAACAACGGCGTCGATTGTTGGAGCTGAGCTGAATGAGAGAGAGAGAGAGAGCGCGAGAGAGAGAGAGATGCAGAGCAGGGAACGCGAGGAACAGTATTAAGAACCGCTGCTTCAGAACACTGATTTTGAAACTTGTGAATCCATTAGAATCGTTAGAAGACAGAATCGCGATTCATATATGAATAGATTTTTAATTGCACCTCTAGGTTTCTCTTCCTCTTCTCTAAAGCAGCGCAGCATGGCCACGAACCCTTTGCGGCCTTTTACCGAGGGCGGGGTTTATCTGGGTTTGTGATGTCACGAACCCGGGAAGTAACTCGTTGTAGTCCCTACCAGCCATTTTTGTAGGCATTAAACTGCCAGACATTTAAAAGACAATATCTCCGTTTGCATTGAACTTTCAGCTTCGTCACTTTGCAGATATTGTTTATGCTCAAACAGCAACATTACACACTAACTAACATTAAAAAGGTGAAATCGCAATGAACCACCCCTTTAACAATGAATAGATCAGCATCATCAGTTGAAAAATAGTTCCTGTGAGAAGTGAAACTCTGAGAAACTAAACAGACAAGCCAAATGTGATTTTTACACACATCTCATGACGACTGTGAGAATAGCATGCGCTATAGTCATAACTTTCCTCTTTTATTACCTACAAACTCTAATCACAAACATCCATAGAACTTTGAACTGACTGATAAAGAATGCGGATCCTTGCTCAAAAAGTACTCATTCTCCCCATTTGTACTCAATAGCTACAAACTTTATGTATGAACGGATACAGTAATTGGCTTTAGATGTAAATACACAAACAAAGACACTATTTCCGCAAACATTTCGTTCTTCTTCTTGAGTTTTATGGCAGTTGGCAAACAAACAATATGCACCATTGCCGCCACCTACTGGGCTGGAGTGTGGACCATTGATTTAATAGGAAGAACTAAATAATAAAAAATAAAAAAAATTCTAAATTTTTAAGTATGTAATTAAAGCATTATATATTTTATAATGATTCAAGCCATTTTTCAACAGAGTTTTAAGTGTAATATTTTCTATCCCTATTTCTTCAATTCTTTGGTTGCCATCCATCTTATTAAGTTTTCCCTTTCCTGTTCCCAACTCCTACCTTACTTACTTTAATACTCTTTTCAATTTGAAATAGATGTCTCCCTTTTCCCTCTTTATCCCACAACTCTTGCCACATTTGGTTTATTGTTTCCCCAGATTATGCTTCTCACTTCTGCTTTACTGATTCTTATTTTCATTTCTACGTTTTCCTTCTTCAACGCCTTCTTTGCCACCTTATCTACTTTTTCATTCCCCTTCACTCCTACATGCGCTGGAACCCATAACAATTTAATTTGGCCTCCCTGATTTGTTTTGTTCTTCTTCTTCTATGAGTTTTACTGTCGGGCTGCGAAACAAAGACATAACATAAATATGAACACATAGATTCTTATTACTGGACTACAAAACTCAGAATATATTACCTATTATTTGATGCTTGTATTTTGTTATCTTTCACAGTTAAGCTCATTTTATTCATTTTTGTTCTTAACTTTGCATTTCAGTTCCAGAACATTAGCCACCGTTCATCAGAAAAACAGTGAACAATTAAGATTATAAATATTCCAAATCAGAAATAGAAATGTCATAGCAATCTTAAATCACATAAAAAATAACAATTGAAAACCAGGTCATCTGTGCAACCATACATACAAAACAAATACCGGAGTAAGAAAGTAACACACACTCATCACTCAACTTACTCTTACTCGGTCACTACTAAGATAGCAGATGCAGTTGTGGCCACCATTAGTGCATTCATGGGAATCGAAAGCATCTGACATAGTATAATTCTACTGCAAGTACAGCTGATGCATTGTGTTTATGGATGCTGTAGTCATGCTAACATTCCAGGTGAAGATAATGAAGAAAATATGTTGTCTTTCATTGCTCCCTTCAGTTCAAGAGCCCTGCTCCCTCCAAAGTCCCCATTTCAAGGGCTCTACTCTAGGACATCGGGATGCTCACTTCCAATCAGAGAGACCTAATAAACATGCAGTGCGGGGGAGTAAAGTGCATTCTTCTTTAAGCTTTGATTCTATTAACTGACGCAATTATATGGATCACTACTTGCATGTTAAATCAAAATTGAATGACTAATCTTTATATCTTATGTAATAGCTGTTTCCCTCAACAGCTGAACAGTTTCCCTAACAGCTATACAGTGAGAATGCTAGATGAGGTAACTAAGTAGTGAGCATCAGTGTCACAGCAATAAATATCAGTTCTATCGGGCTCATGGTCACTTTGATCTTTTTTCAGTGTGCTACAAATTGTGACAGGACCAATCCAAGGAGACACAACATCAGAGTAGACAGGTTTCCAAAATGATCGAAGGCTGGGGAAAAAAACAAAAAAAACAGGGATATCATTTTTTAAAACAGTTTTCACAATGTGTATGAACATATAAGAATATAAACAAAGCAGTGAATATAAATGTTTATTTACCACTGTCTGGATATTCCTCATCACTCCTTGATGAACCTGATGACCCTGAATACAATACAAATAAAAACAGAGAATGTGTATACATTCATATAAATACATATCGACAGTTCACACAGTTTAGTCATTCATCCTCCCTTAAGAGCGGATGAGCGTGAGAGAGCAATAATTCTTAACACAAGAGAGAGTGTTTATGTTTCTTGTTGTTTATTAATCTTAATTGATCAAAATGGTCATTTTGTACTTTTGCATTTTACATTTAAAGATAAACATGTACTGCTTTTATATCAACAAGCTTGAAAAAAAATCATTCTCCTTTTGTGTCCCAAGACTAGGGTGTGAAAATGACTTTTAATGTATGTTGTTTTGCACTATTTTCATTTTGTATCGTTTCATTTGTGTATATTTCAATACTTGAAATATAAAATTTAACTATTTGTCATTACATTAAAATTAGAATTAAAATAGAAAAAGATACAAATCTTAGCCAAGTGACAGTAAGATATCAGCGTTTTCTAAAATTAAAGGAAATTTGAACGATAAAATGGACCACAAGTAGGGTGGCCATATGCGCCGTTCATACGGGACACGTCTTGGCCAGGATGTTAATATTGCCTAAAACATCCAAAGCAGTTTGACCAATAACATGCAGGTATATAATCGACCAATCGTGTGGCTGCGCGTGAGAAGCTGAGATCTACAGGGAACGATCAAAGCGATGCAAATATGCGCACGTGTTTGTTCGTTCGTTTGACTTGAAGCGTTGCTGCGCACCGATGTAATGCAGGACACGTGGTAGAGAAATAACGTTCTATTATTAGAGGTTCCTGCACTAGCTAGAACATTTTTTTTTAATTGTGGATGAAACAAAATGCCAAAATTATAACCAAAATTTAAATACCGGACACTGCTTATGACTTGCGGAAGCATGCAAAGATGCAAATTCATCAATAGCAGTTCACTTCCATGATTTAAGATGGATCAAGTTCGTATCAACAAAAAGAATAGCATTTGGTTCAGTATAAACCATCTCTTCAAGCAGCATGGTTAGCTAGTGCAGGGGAGTCCTGGAAGATTCCTCCAACACTTATTAAGCAAACCTGAACCAGCTAATCAAGGACTTCTGGATTACTAGAAACCTCCATGCAGATGTTGGAGCAAGCTGGAGCAAAACTCTGCCAGACAATGCAGGAACGGACACTAAAGCACTAATGCATGTCTTGAGTTTTGAAGAATGATTTGACACCAACCAAACAACTTGAACTCTAAGGGCAAACAGACTCAGGTCCACATTATTAGTGTGAAAGCATCCTAATGCTAACATTGAAGGCTCTCTCTAGGCTAGGAGCCCTGTAGGCCTATTTGAAAACTTTCACTACTAACCTCTCGGATGAACAGTGAAAACCGTCTCCATGCCCGCATGGATGTGATCGGTCACATGGCAGTGAAGCAGCCACTGTCCAGGACTTCCTACAGTCATCTCTATGGTCTGAAATGTTCCTGGGAACAGGTCGTATACATCAGCACGATGAGGATGATCCGTCTGAGGGAGAGAAAATGAGAGTGTTTGAGAGATGTTTTGACACTTAAGCTGTATTTATGCATTAGTGTGTTTTCAGGAGTGCAATCGAACCTTTGATATTACAATATATAAAATGTAAATGTAAGCAGTGTTTCGTAGCTTCAATGTGATGAGATAAAAAGACAATGTACTGCAAAAAAATGGTAATAAATGTACTTCTATGACTTTGTATTCATAAAGAAAGAATCTTATGAACCAATCCTTATAGAAAATCAAATGCACACAGTGCAACCAGTGTAGCCCAACTAACGAAAAATGCTTCTTTTAATGAAAAATGCAAAAAGACTTGCAAACACTAAGTCTGAATTCTCAGACTGCCCTCTCTGCTTTTATTATTCATATACATTTTTTTGCCATCTAAGAAAAAAAAAGAAGAATAAATACATGCATACATACTGCCATACTAAATAAATATATTTATTATTATTAAAAATAAATTGATTTGAGGTTCCTCTGTGGAAATGCAACTGATTCGCATATTAATGGACATGAATGTGTATGTCAGGCCATAAATTCACAAGAAATATGCATTGACGCTTGCATTGGTGTCAACACCCCTCATTGTCCTCATGACACCATATATGTGACCCTGGAGCACAAAAGCAGTCTTAAGTCGCTGGGGTATATTTGTAGCAATAGCCAACAATACATTGTATGGGTCAAAATTATTGATTTTTCTTTTATGCCAAAAATCATTAGGATATTAAGTAAAGATCATGTTCCATGAAGATATTTTGTAAATTTCCTACCGTAAATATATCAACACTTAATTTTTGATTAGTAATATGCATTGCTAAGAACTTCATTTGGACAACTTTAAAGATGATTTTCTCAATATTTAGATTTTTTTGCTCCCTCAGATTCCAGATTTTCAAATAGTTGTATCTCAGCCAAATATTGTGCTATCCTAACAAACCATACATCAATGGAAAGATTATTTATTCAGATGATGTATAAATCTAAATTGAAAAAAATTGACACTTAAGACACTTAAGGTTTTGTGGTCCAGGGTCACAAATATTGTTTTCATCTGCCCTGGTGTGTTTATGTATGTACTTTGTAAATGAAGCTCTGAGCATGGAAATGCACAGTGTGCATGTCGACTTCATTCCCCAGTCCTATCAAATACCACTCGGTCTTGTCATTCTCTGTCATATTCAACCCATGGAGGTTAGCATACATCTTTCCATTAATACCTGTGGAAGAGAGAGAGAGTTTTAAGTTCTTCAAAAAGTCTACGCCATGTGCTTCTCCAGAAAACTTGTAATACAGACAATGACACACACACACATAATTACCATGCATTTTGTTGCTCTCCATAAAGTCCCCATCATATTTTTCTTCGTATTTTTCTGGGTCTGCGTTGAGGTACGTTTTTATGTTTTCATCCAGGTAGTGGGACTCATTTTCATCGAACACCAAGAAAAGGAGCGCAAACTCTTTATCAATGTCTTTTCTACATCTGTCGGTGTTCAGGGTGTTTTTGCGGCACACTATCAGTGGACCCACCAAACCGCTCATCAAGTCCTGAAGAACATTCACAGAGAAGATCTGTAAAAACTCACACTATCAAATTTACATTTGGTTTAATAATATGGATCACCCTTGCATAAAAACAATGTGTATTGTTACACGTTTTATACCTCAACTAGACTGACAGACGAGTAGTAGGCATACGTTATACAGTTTGGATCACTGCGACCCGGACCTGATCGTTTTGGAATGGTCCAGCTGTATGTCGTCATATGACCTATAATACATGTAACACATGCACACAGAGAGGCTTACTTATTGGTTTACTTCTGAATCACTCCTGACCACATAAAAGACAAATCTGAGTAATAACAGACCTGGTTGAACACCGTTCTGATGGGTTTCACTGGTCTTCACTCCATGGGCATGAACAGAATATGGCTTGCTGGCTTTGTTTTTAAACACAACTTGAATCTTCTCACCAACCTCAGCTCTAATGATGGGTCCTGCAAATAAACAGAGTCAATATAGAACCACAAAAGCAAAGGTAATGATCTAAAACAAAGAGACCTGCTTTGTCAATAGTCAATCTAACAACCTAATTACGATTCTCTCTCTCTCTCTCTGTATATATATATATTAGGGCTGTCATTTTAACGCGTTAACTTAATTAGTTATTAGTTAATTAAAAATAAAACGATTAAAATATTTTAACGCAGTTAATGCACTGGCCCTGCCCCTAGACCCGTACATCATCATACATTTCATACAGTTGACTGTTGACAAATATGATGCAGGGTAACAACTCCATAAATGCAGTTATGCCCTAAAATTCAATATATTGGGGCAAAAATGCCCCTGTATGAATTTTTGTCTCATATTTATTTCATATGATATCACACGAGCGCTGTTTTTGTCCTGAATATCACGAGTTTAAATGTGATACAACAGTTCAGTAAATAAAAAGGTAATATTGTGTTACATTTGAAACACAATATTTTCAGTTTTTGCTTAATTTTGCAGAGAAATTACCTTTAAAGCCATAGCAGAATTGTGTCTCCGAGCAACACAGCATTCATTTGTGAATCCACGTTTTAAATGAATCGTGTGAACCAATGACTCAATAGCCTATTCATAAAGTGAACCGTTTACTTCATTCTTGAATGAATCAGCAGTTTGAACGAATCGAATGAATGAATGAACGAATCGAATGAATGAATGACTCAAAGACCTTTACAACATTAAAGGGATAGTTCACCAAAAAAATTTAAATTCTGTCATCAATTACCCTGTCGTTTCAAACCTGTATGACTTTCTTTTGCATAACATAAAAGAAAGTATTTTGAAGACAGTTGGTAACTAGGTTGTTTTAGTTACAAGTGACTTTCATTGCATTAAAACAAAAAATACTGAGATGTTTCTCAAATGATCTTCTTTTATGTTCCATTGTTGCTGTTGTAGCCTTAACGTTTATGTGTTATACATTTTATGTTAAATCAAATCAAATATTTCTTTGTAAAGCTACTATTTGTAATGTCTACTTGATACTTTCTCATTTAACACAATAATGGCTTTAATTATATTTTGTGGGTAATTTCACAGCCAAATTTAATTCGCGATTAATTAATTGACACATCATGTAATTAATTAGATAAAAAAATGTAATTGACTAACAGCCCTTATATATATGTGTGTGTGTGTGTGTGTTTGTGTGTGTGTGTGTGTGTGTGTGTGTGTGTGTGTTCGACTATTGAGAAGCAGGTTTCAACTGACTTACGAGAGCTACAGTATTATAAGATTTATTAATAAATCTTAAGAAGTTTTTTAATGGAAAAAAGTAGTTCACAATTCACACTTCTAAAGTAAGATGTGACATACCCATTATTTCCAAGTGCTCCTCCTCTGGTCGTCTGTGTTTCTTTTTGGTAAAGGTTTCATCTAAATATTCACGAAACACCACCTTCTTATATTTTGCACCAATCCTATTTTTTGACTGTTCAAGATAAATTCCTCCAGGGCTAAATAAAGCAGGAAAGAACAAAAAACAAAAGATTATATGGGCATGAATATGTCTAAATGTGTATGCATTCTAGTAATTTTAAAATAATGTAAGGTAACATAAGTAAATTGGTAAAACTCTGTAGCTTGCTTTGTGTGAAATAGAGAGTCTCAAGCATGAGACTTGACTCTTCTCAGTCCAGTCTCAGTTGGAGTGTTAACTCTATCCCTAACTTTTCCCGACTCGTCCTTACAGACTGTAGACGGCACATAATATGCTTTTACGTTTGTGTGTATACCTGTCCTCCAGTGTAGTTTTGTGTTTCTCCAGTTCCCATGTGCGGTCTGGAGCATAATTCCACTCGACCTCCTCTGCTGCGATGAAGTACTGCACTGTGGAGGTGAAATGTTCTGCTGCAGGAGTCTCTGCTGAACAGGACTTGACTTCATAATGCTGATGCATGCCAGCGTGGTAGTGTTCACCCGTACGACAGCTCAGCTCAAACTGGCCTGAGAAGAGAAGAGCATACTGATGAGCAAATATCTTTTAATAATTTAACAAAACAACAACAAGCTTTTCATACATTATACATACCTAACAACTGTATATGAAAGCAGAAAACTTGTATAGTCTTGCCTAACTTTGTTAAACCGTTGTCGTGCCAAATCCCACATCCCCTTGAACCCTAATGGGTAGCTGCTCCCATAATCTTATGGATTATAGATGGCTGAAATGTGTTTAAAGGGGTCATCGGATGTCCATTTTCCACAAGTTGATATGATTCTTTAGGGTCTTAATGAAAAGTCTGTAAGATAGTTTGGTTAAAATTTCTCAATGGTAGTGTAAAAAACACATTTTTACCCTGTCAAAAACAGCTCTTTTAGAGCATGCAGTTTTGTAGCATTTCCCTTTAAATGTTAATGAGCTCTGCTGACTCCGCCCCTCTCTTCCGAGCTGCTCTCTGAGGGACTGTTTACTTTAGCCACATTCATCATGAAATTTGCTAATTAGCACATTATTAGGAAAGGCGATTTGCAAAGATTCATTACAAAACCTTACACTCACTTCTTCTGTTGGTGAGGCTGGATCATGAATGATTCGCGTGAACATAGACGCATTTATGTAGATCAGGGGCGCATTCCCTTCAGAAACAAACGTAATCCACTGCGAGTTCAGCGGCTCAGATGTCGGGAGTAAATGACGGCTGCTATGTTCATTATTACATCCAACAATAAAACACCTCAATCGCTCAGGAGTCATTCTTGTCTACATCTGCTCCGGCGGTGAAACAATGGCATTTTAAACTCTTTCCCCATCATTGACTGAATTTTCTGCCTTTCTGTGTTTTCACTACTATATAGTAGGGGGCGCAATTACACATCTTCTAAAAGAGTACCAAATGTCTGGATCAAAACATGGCGAAGAAGCAGAAACAAGTGATCACATATATATGCAAAATTATGGAAAAATCAGACATTAAACAGCATATAAATCAAAATTGCCTGATGCTATCAAATGAAATGACGACCCAGGAGTGGTTTAGGACTGTGAAGATTTGGGGGTCTTGATGGAAATTGTCTACTGTTCACCACGTTGCTTTTTTATATGAAACTTTCCCACATTCCAGTTTTGATGAAAAAGCGGAAAGCAGAAATGGTATAAAAGCAGAGGCTTTGATTTTTTCTTTTTTTTACATTTTGCATGTTCAGAAATCCATACAACAAAATATCCTGGGGGCCATGAATGTTTTGTGAAAATGATCAAAATGTTGCTGGTGACAAAAACAAAACAAAACATGCTACCAAAACAGGACATTCTGTCATCATTTTTTAAGTTTAAACGTACTTCTGATATACGCTAGTCAACATTTGAAGTGGATCAAAACCTTTCATCAAAGTTGTCCTAAGACAAGAACGCATTTTGGTTTTATGTTTTAGGACAACTTTGATGAAAGGTTTTGATCCACTTCAAATGTTGACTAGCGTATATCAGAAGTACGTTTAAACTTAAAAAATGATGACAGAATGTCCTGTTTTGGTAGCATGTTTTGTTTTGTTTTTGTCACCAGCAACATTTTGATCATTTTCACAAAACATTCATGGCCCCCAGGATATTTTGTTGTATGGATTTCTGAACATGCAAAATGTAAAAAAAAGAATTGATTAACTTTTTTGATCCACTTCAAATGTTGACTACTGTACACAGCACTAATATTATGCTCATTAGTATTTCACACCAGAAGATTAATGGGATTCACTTTGACGAGACATGTAAGATATAACATTGCAGATCTACAAATAATAAAAAATAAGCTACCTGGAAATTACCCTTTAATTATAGTAGACTGAAAGCCAAGCATTGCTAACCTTAGTTAGGTAAACTGATTATATTGAATTAGCAACCAATGACCAGCCATAGAATATACTTGAACAACTTAACACTATCATGCACACATTGTGTGCACTAAGAAATCATTATGTACTGCTTCACAGATGTAATCGCCTCTCAGCTGGCATCTCTAAAGGCCAATTCACACTGTACTGACAGACACCGACAAATAGTTTCCACAGTCTCTGACCCTTTGCTGGTCTTGCAGCCAGCATTCAACAACTTTGGGCAAGAAACGTGCATTCACAGACATCAAATCATTCAGCCGTGCCTCTGCAACAAATTTTGTGGGTTGCAGGGGCTCAATACCCTCTGGAGTTCCCACTAGACATAGACTGCTTTGTTGGGAACAGCATTCCAAATCCAGGCACTTGGCAAGAAGAGCAGAAATCTCACTCTGTGAAGAGACTACAGGGGGTACAAGCACCTACAGACTAGTTATAAAGTTGCATTTTAAAGACTAGTTAGTCTCTCTTTGTGTGTCCTGATATCTAGTGTCAAGTTTGTATATCAAACATTTGTGACCCGTGCTGGCAAAATGAGTCGGAATACGCACGGTTTAATTTTGAACTACAGGCAAAAGGAGCGAAAACAGTTTTGGTCGAATTTGAGGTTTTCACAAAAATTAGTTCATTAAGCCCTCTTCTAGCGATCTCAATGCTCCAAATAGTAATTAAACATCTAAAATTATCTTTTTTTGTACGTTTTCTGAGAGGAGTAGCTTTTTCTCTGCTCGCTTCTGGACGACTGCTGCTGCTTCTCACCACAAGTCTGTTGTTGCAAAGCTTTGTTTGTTGCATTGCAGCTTTGTGAATATTCATATTGAATTCTCGATGACATGAATCCCAACCAGTGAAATATGATTTTCAAACCCATGCTGATGAAAACAAAATGATCGCGCGCTGACTGACATTTGCAAAGTGCGTGCATAAGACGTGCCTCTCTGAGAGTGCGCGATGTTGGTAAGATTCACACAAACATAAACTGTTATGTCTTACATGAACATTTAGTTAATGGTTCTGGAAAAATCTGATGTATAAAATTATATTAGATGCATGCATTACAGTAGATCTTCATATAGATCTGTCTCGATGTTAATCAAACGTTAATAGAAAAGATGGAATCACTTGCTGCTCTTTATTAAACTACTGTTTATTTGCATTTTTGTTCTTATTTTTAATAACAAGATAAAATAAAGCTATATTGTGATTAATAATATAGTAATTATTATTAAGAAAAGAATTGGACGAAAATATGCAACTTTGCTTGGTGAAAACACATTCATCTGAATAATTACCGAGTGTTATCATTTTCAGGTGATGTGTAATTCTTAATGAGGGAAGGTGTAGCTAGCTAAAGTGGCAAACACTTTAAATACAGATGTGCATATTTATTAGGCAGATTTTTACTATTGGTAAAAATGAGCAAAAAAAGAGAGACTTAACTGACACTGAAAAGTCAAAAATTGTGAAATGCCTTTTTTAGAAAAACGCAGTACTCTGGAAATTTCCAAACTATAAAAGCGTGACCATCGGAATCATGCGGTTGGTCAATAATAGTCAGCAGGGTCGCAAAAAATGTGTTGAGAAGAAAACGTGCCACTTTTGCTCAATATTTTGAATGCAACATACCACAATATCCAGCAAAACAGTTTAACAAGTGCTCAGAATGACCATTGTTTTGATGGGCTGCTCACTTTAAACTGTAGAAACGGGATAATGGAGCTACCATTGCCATTTTGTATCACATTTTGAAACCAAGCTGAAGTTCGGAACCCTTCTTAATATTGTTATTTCATCATTATCATTAGAACATGAAATCATCAAGAAGAATGCCATGATCGGAGCTGTTTTTGTTGTGTGTCTTGGATTTCGTGATGGAATGTAAATGCACAATTTACGTGACTAAAAGAGCAAAAAGTTGGGCTAAGAGACAAAATCTCCTATATGACAACTTGAAGTGTTACATATCGAGGCTGAGAGAAGAACACACACAACACTGCAGACAACAGGTAAATGCCATTATCGATGTTTTCCATGTTCATGGTGTAAGCATTTTTACATGGCTTTTTGAAAATGCCAGGTAGTCATATGCGTTTGGCCAAGCAGCGTACACTTACGATAGATCCTATATAACTGTTTTAGACCCTACTTTGAAGTAGGAGCTAATTTAGTTCCCCCAAAACAGAGTTTCTAGAACTAAAACCGTTCCTAGTTCCTGTGCTGCGAACACGCCAAAAAGCAGGTACTTCCGCCAATAGTTCTAGGAACTATGAAAGGTTCCTCTGGTGCGAAAGCCCCTATAGTCAGTCTGTTCTTAGGCCAGATGTTAAGACTTGCGCCCAGCAAATACCACAAAACATACACAGACCTCTATAACCAGACAGTCCCTCGATGCAGGCCCCCTATTTCCAGCTAAGGCCATAACGCATCATGCCAGGACCAGCTGGGATTGTAAAGTAGACCTAAATGACTAGCAGGATCACTAATTGATAAGCCAGTCTCTGATCACTATACTGCACCATGTTTTCAACCTGCTGGTCAGAATACAACCCCTGCCTCAAGGATCTCACCCAAGTCCATTGTGGTCCATGCCAATCTCTAAGCAAAAGAGCTGCTTCCAATTTTGAATACCATACAGAAACATTGGAATCATCAATCACATTGTGTTCGATCTATTCCTTCGTTCATTCTGTGGCCAGAGGTTTCTCACTGCTACCACCTGATAGAGTTTCTGTTCCAAACCACTGTCACCTTTGGTTTGCTCAGTGGGCAAAACTATTAATATTCAGCAAACTCTATAAATCTCATTTGAAATCACTGAATACTTGAATTTTTGAGATTTTTATGATTTACTAATTGGAAACAGTGTTGCAGGTCTGTGATTTCATTAGCATCAAATTACCAAGTATAAATGTATATATTTGTATTAATTTTCTATTTATTTATAGTTGTGGTTATTGTATGCACCTTGCGCTTGTACTTTGTACTTGCAGTGTCTGGTCTGGAAATGTCCTGAGAAAAATAACTTTTCCAGAATATTCTTGGAAACAAACATTGTTAGTCGGGTTATGCCGAGGTGAACTCGGCATTAGGATCAAAATCATTATTAGTAAAAGCATTACAAGTAACGTGTCAAAGCCAGTCATATCTTCCATTGCTTGAGTGTACAGGATAAGCATTTACACACTTATATCCCTGATGTAAAAGCGCTGTGACTTACCATTATTGTCGGGTGTCATGCTAACAGTCACTGCGGTATGCGGGAAGACACTGAGAGTGTCACGGTTCATCCCGTCTCGTTGAAACGTGTTACCCTCGAAATAGACCCCATGGATATCCACCTCAGTGCCCAAGCCAAGTATGTGCCACATAACATGTTCCCCATTACACAAGTCCAGACCAGGCAGGTTTCCATACATGTAGCCATTCACCGCTGAGGAGGAACACACACATTCTTAATTAGAATACCGTCAAACCATAAACTTGTATATTCACAAAGTGTGGATGTAAATGCACATGATCGTGCGATTAAACACATATATGCATACCGTGCATCTTATTGCTTTCCTGAAACTCTTCATTGGCTGGATCTGAATCACGGCTACCAAACTTGTTCAAATTCTTTTGCAGATACCAGCTTTTATTCTCATCCATGACAGAGAACAGCAGAAAAAACTCGTGCTGAATTTTGTTGGCATACTAAGGAAACACACCCGTACCATGGAAAAAACCACACACACACAGACAGACAAAACAAACAGACATAAACACATAGGCCATTATATTTACTTGCATTACATTCAGTTTGTCCACAAACTACAGTGTTCACCGCATTCTTCAAACAATCAACCCTGAAAGAAACCGTAAGAAAAAAACAAGTTTTTTTCTTTAATTTATAGAAATATACATTTATTAATAACTACAAACTGGCATTTAGTCTCAAATGCTATCCCCAACTGAATGACTGCTTGATTTAGGCCAGATTTGCAAACCTGATATCCAATAAAACAGCTCATATAAAACAAATTTTCATGTTTTTGGTTGACAGTCAAGCAACCTCTTTTCACAGAACGATCCTTAACTTTTAAACCCTATTTTGTACCGTATTGTCTGTGCAAGTTCATTACCTGATGGCCACTTCCATCAAGAACACCTTTCCTGCACACTTGTATGGGCCCAAATAAACCAGAGTTAGTGTCCCGAACCGGATCAACAGCAGAATAGTACAAGTATGAAACACAAGGAGGATCACTGCTGGAGGGACCTTCAATTACTCTCCAGCGATAGGTGAACTTTTCACCAGGAGCCACAGAGGCTCCAGCTTTCTGAGTACCTGTTGAGGAGGCGACAGAAAACAAAATAATCTAAAATCTTAGACTTATGACTTAAGACTTATGTTTTGTATTTTAATATTGTAGCCAAATGTGATGCAATGCGTGCATAAAGCTGTCAAATAGTATTCTTAGTGTTCATTGATGTTCAGTGATGAAATTGTCACCAAAGGCATTAAACCGGTGGTTTTTAAGCTTTTTTGAGTGAATTCCCCCTCTTTGCTTTGCCCATTTAGAAACCCTAGATTGAAGATCTATGTGTGTGTATACCTGTAGCTGTATATGACTTACCATCCTGATACTTTGCTCCTTCATAGGTCTTCTCATAATGCAGACCGTGTGGCTGAATGCTGTAGTCACGTGTAGCTCTGTTAAAGAATGTCACAATGATAACATCACCAGCCTCTGCTCTGATTACAGGACCTATAGTGGGAGTGGGGGAGGGGTGTAGAGAAAATTGATCATTTAAACCAATTGTTCCCAACCCTGGTCCTGGAGGCACCCCAACACTTCACGTTTTGCATGTCTCCTTAATCAAACACACCTGATTCAGATCATCAGCTCATTAGTAGGGACTTCAAGACCTGAAATTGGTGCGTCAGAGAAAGGAGACATGCAAAATGTGCAGTGTTGGGGTGCCTCCAGGACCAGGGTTGGGAACCACTGATTTAAACTACATGAATAAGACTGAAAGGCACTCATACATCACAGCATGGCATCACCTCTAGGGCATATTACTATACTTCTTATTCAGAAACATTAAAGTTGGCAGGAAATCAAAATCAACCATATTTTTCGTTATGCATGTTACTGGTCTTATTGTTAACCATTGATATATGCATTATTTTTTTCACATCATTTTTTTTACCTCAAACTTTTAATCAAAACTTGCTCCTCCTGTGATATGACTGAATCCTCTTTGCTGACATTTCGTTTCATGCCAACTTTAAAATATTACCAAAGACCTTTCAGTGTTCAAAAACATGCAAGACACAAGCGAGGATTTTACCCAGAATTCCAAGATGCTTATCTGAGCCCGCAATATGTGTTTTGGTAGTAAATGTGCTGTCAGTGTATGAAATGTATCTGGCCTTCAGGTATTTTCCACCCAGCTTACCACCATCACGACTGAAATACGATTCAGAGTCACTGAAGGGAAAGAAAGACATTAACGTAAATGAAAGTAATCTAATACAATTACGAAATCAACATGCATATTACAAATAAAAAATAAAAGGTCAAATTCAATTAGAAATAGATAATACCAGACCTGCAGCAGCAATTATATGTGATAATTACATCAATTATAATAAATCAACTTATTTATCTTTCATTTTTTGATTTTCTATGGCTTCTTCCTGTTTTCAGGCATTGTCTGTGCACTAACGAATAGTGGCAAAAGTTAATCCCATCCTAATTTATTCAGTAACATTTAAAAGCAAAGCATAAGCTCAGAGGCTTCAGAATCCCTCAGCAATTTCAGATTCAGAGTTCAGAGTTACTCAATCGTGCATTAAAGCATTTCCAAATCTGTGTTTTTACCTCTCTGGTTCAGTAAGTGATTTATTTGTCATGTAGTTCATCCCTGAATGGGCGTAGTCCCAATCCATCTCCTCAGCAGCGATGTAGAAATGTCTCTCTTTGCCAGGGGCCTCTGTTGGAGAGACTGAGGACCCACAGGCCGAGACCTCATAGAAACTCTGCATACCTGCTGCTCACAAGAACAGAGAGCGATTCAGATATATTGAAATCATAAATTGACCTGCCTCCCTTAAGTAAACTCAAGACACTCAAGTGAACTCAAAGAAAAAGTCATAAGCACTCCTTTTGAATTGAATTACTGATAAAGACAACAGAGCTGAAGCTCTGAAAATAAATTACATTTAAAATAGCGTAAATTATCCTGACAAGTTACAGTACATTTATGGAGTCAAATTGTTGGTATGACATAATGATGAATTTTCTTTTTCAGTGAAGGAATTAAAAGGAGCGTAAAACATGAACACTGTACCAAGCTACAAATCAAAACTGAAAGTGATCACACACTGATTAGAGACAAAAACAATGCATAAAAAAATGAGGAACGAATATTAGGCTTCACACAGAGATGACAGAAAGACAGTTACTACCTTCTACATGATCGTTGACTTGGCAGCTTAACAACCATTTTCCTTCTGTTCTGGGGATCATTGTTGCGGTGACAAAAGTGGCAGGAAACAGACTAAGCACATCTGTGCGGTGCATGCGATCCACGAGGGTGTGCCCATGGAAATAAGCCGAATGAATGTCCACCTCGTTACCAATGCCGAAGAGATGCCAAGACACGGTACGTCCGACACACACTTTCAGTGCAGGCAAATTCCCATAAACATAGCCATTGATTGCTAATGGGAAAAAGACAAGAACAAACTGAACGAGTGACACTGAGAGATAAATGATGAGATGACATGAGCTTTATAATTAAACATATGTGACCCTGGAGCACAAAAGCAGTCTTAAGTCGCTGGGGTATATTTGTAGCAATAGCCAACAATACATTGTATGGGTCAAAATTAATGATTTTTCTTTTATGCCAAAAATCATTAGGATATTAAGTAAAGATCATGTTCCATGAAGATATTTTGTAAATTTTCTACCGTAAATATATCAAAACTTCATTTTTGATTAGTAATATGCATTGCTAAGAACTTAATTTGGACAACTTTAAAGATGATTTTCTCAATATTTTGATTTTTTTGCACCCTCAGATTCCAGATTTTCAAATAGTTGTATCTCAGCCAAATATTGATTTATAAATCTCAATTTCGAAAAATTGACCCTTATGACTGGTTTTGTGGTCCATGGTCACATATAAGGAAAACAATAATTCTGCCTATTATTCATTTAGATAACAAAATGTCAGGCTTAGAAATGAAAACCACAAACAGCTGTGTTTGTATCTTAGAGTGCAGAGAACTTTGGATATCAAAAGGAAAACTAAACTTTTCTGAATGGCTTTGTTCCAAAGTGGAACAGATACAAGGTACTTTCCATCAAAGCATGCAAAACATCAGCTAAAGATTACACCATGGGAATGTATGGGCTTTACTTTTATAAAACCTATTACCATTGGTTACAGACATTAATGTAGCTGTAGTTGGGAGGAAAAAAGCAGCAGTTTTGATTCCCAGTAGTTTGTGCCATGGTACCAACATTTCAGTAGTCAGCACCAAACACAGTGAAATTTGATCATTTCAATACTAAAGATATTTCAGTAGATTGCTAATTAATCACTTCTTTTAAACTGTTTAAGTGCTACAGTGTAATGTAAGCTGCTTTGTAGACGTGTATAGTATATTTGTATAAAACACATTAATATAAATGGTTAAGTTTTTAGTTTCTATGATAAAAATAGAACATTCCTCATTAGAACACAAGGAGCAACAACCCAATTTTTATGCATGGATACGGTTAAAGATTGAGACATCCTGAGACTCACAGTGCATGAGGTTGGACTCTCTGAACTCCTCGTCTACGTATTCCATATGTTGTTTTGTTTCGTCTGGATCAGAGCAGAACTTTTCAATATTCTCCTCCAAGTACCAGCTCAAGTTCTCATCCACCACACTGAACATCAAAATGACATCTTCATCCACATCAGAGCGCTTTTGACTAGAGTCCAAAGTGCCTAAAGAGAAGAAAAAGATATTAGGAAAAGACTAAAAAGGGTAAAAATAATCAGAGTTAGAAGGGAGGAGTGCTTGATGCTAAGAAGTAGTTGACTGTACAATCTTCTGTGTGCATGTAAACTAAATGTATTCCATGCATGTACAGATTATTAGGGCTTGTTTACCTTGTTTGCAGGTGAGCAGAGCTCCTATCAGCCCTGATGCAATGTCTTTTGGTGCATCTCCATGTGAATGGTAAATCCAGGTGAGACAGCTGGCATCTGCTTCAGTAGGAGCGTACTCTGGTTTGACCTGCCAGGTGTATGTGTAGCTCTCACCTGGAGCCACCGCATCATCTCTCTTATCACGACCAGTGGTGCCGTCTGGATACAACGCTCCTAAAATACAGAGCAACGAATTCACACTTGTCCAATCTCATCTGTTCAAGGACTCGTATTTGACAAATTGTAACAAATCTAGGACTTTAAAGGGGGCACACTGTATTAACACTGGATTTTCCTTGCTCTTTTAGTATAAAATTCAATAAACAACCTTTCTTCCAAGTCCAACCAGATTTTTATGGAAGCTACGCTCATTTGGAAATATTTGCATGGCTAACACGTTTACACAATAATGCCTATTCAGTAAATTGGCCTGCGATGGAAGTAGACACTGTAAAGTTAAACTTAACCTCATAAAAAATTATGAACAAATGACAGGGAAAGTTGCTGGTTAACTTGTTTTACGTGGTTAAAAACAAAGGTGTTGTACCAAGGTTACACAAAAAAAAAAGTTACGTTTAAATTTTTGATATCAAATTTTTCATGGTTTCAGCACAAATGAATAAACGTAATGTGATTCATATGCATCAGTCATACATAAATGAAACGTGTAAGATTTCTGTAATAGTTCACAGTGTTGGATTTAAGGAGATAATTACGTGACAGTTGAGCATTAATGATGAACACTTGCTGCTAACAAGCAGAATCACTGGAGGAAACAAAAGCAGTGAGAACAGAAAAAAGAGAAACACAAGAACTACAACTGTGGCCTGTTGCATGAAGATAGCTCAACAAACTGAGTTTTAGAGTAGGTTTAGAGTTGACATAAGTTGATAATTATTGTAAATAATTAGGCAAGGCAAGGCAAGGCAAGTTTATTTATATAGCACATTTCATACACAATGGTAATTCAAAGTGCTTTACATAAAAGAAAAGAAAAATAATAATCACAACAATAAAACAAGGAATTTAAAAACTTTGAAAATGATAAAAAAATAGATTTAAGACATGCTGAATCAGGTCAAAAGTGTTTAAAACAGTTATAATTAGCAGATTTTGTCTCTGCAATTCTTTCTAATCAATGCAAATCACTGCGCTCTCCCAGCTGAATTAGGTGACCTGTATTTCTTCAAACATTACAAAGGTTGGTCTGCACTCTTTAGTCTTTTATTGGACTCATCAAATGTTTCAGCTATCTGCCTTCGTGAGTGTCGAAACGTTTGTCTATTTTATCTCCTGCTTTGATTGCAATAAAAGACTTAAAGAGTACAGACCAACCTTTGTATTGTTCTAAAATTCACCATAAACTGCTTTAATTTGAAGCGAGAGGGGAGTGGCTTTATTGCATGAGATATATGTCACTTTGCTCACAGCTGATTGGTTGCTTGTACTGTGCCCAGCATGCATTGCGACATGAAGCGTTTTGTTGATTGTCCTCATTGTTGAGAGTCACACGCTGATTCATTATGTCTGTGTGTGTCTATGTAATTATGTAGATTAAAACTTTTTGTGCACAAAGTGCTTTGTATTGGGCAACACTGCTGTAGAATCCCAATTGTACTATAATAAACAATGCAAAAATAATGCATCACCCATTTAATCAGAGAATAGACTCTATATTGTGATCAATGAAGCAGATGATTATGATTATGCCACGTAAGCATCAGCATTTCAATTTTTTTTTGTGTTTTTTTGTCTTGGCTTTCTTTGCCATACTAAATGTATCTTACAAACACTAAGTTATAACAGCCACATAAAAGATAATGTCAAAGAGTCAAGAGCCCAACAAAAGCAAACACTGATCTCTTTGATGGTGACTTTAACATTTTCAATAAAACATTAACCTCTAAACCTCTGTAATTCTCAATAAGAGCTTCTGTAGATGTCTGACAGAAATAAAGTCAACATGGGTTGCGTTTCCCAAAAGCATCGTTACTTAGCTATGGTCACAATTTCCATTGAACTCTATTGGTAACGAGAAACGTACTACCATAGCTGCTTTTGGGAAACACCCCTGTTTAGTAATGCATAAAGCTGGTAGTGCTGTTTGTGCAGTGGTTTAATCATCTTCTGCTGAGATCTTGAGAGATTTAATGTCTTCTGTTATTTCAGTTGATTTCATCTAAAGGCTGTGGTTGTGAGTCAGTTGTAGGTTTCGTGTTTCTCTCTTTTCAGTTCTTGTTGTTTTTCTTTCCATCAGCGATTTCCACAAGCGATTCTGCTTGTTTACAGCAGGTGTTCATCACTAATGTGACATAATTTGTCACATAATTATCGTATTAACCCAAACACTGCTTCAATGGTACATGGTACACAACACTGAGCAGTGTTTACTTAACACTGGGGATTTTGCTGTGAACTATTACATAGTATCTTACCTGTTTCATTTACATATGACTGAATATGAATCACATTAAGTTATGTTGAAACTATGTAATCCAAATGGATGGAAAATTTGTATGCAATTGAAATCCATAAAAATTCACCATAATGTACATACACATGTCGTGACGTTCATGAGAGACAGTAATGCAAACATGCAACATTTAAAAAAAATCTTTGATATATATGCACATTTTATAATTACAGTTTAATAATTTGAGCTAAGAAAGTGGTTGCTTCAAGTTGCCATTTTATAAAGATTCATGCCGTCTCTTGTAAATGGTGTGTTGACACACCACTTGACACTTTGCTGCACACTTTTCGTTTATTGCTCTGTTATTGATTTATGGGTTATGTGTCAAGAGACTCTAAACTGCTGTTGTAACCCAAAGATAAACATGGAAAGACAGCAAAATCAACAGAAGGAATGGGATGGAGGGAAAAGCAGAACTAGTAATGGAACTAATAGAGAGATAATGCATATCCAACCTTCTGAATTCTTCTCATAGAAGACTCCATGAGGGTGGAGAGAATACGGCCTGGTCGCAAAGTTCTTCATGTGCACTTCTATGACATCTCCGACCTCAGCCCGTAAAATGGGTCCGAGGAAGCCGAGCCAGGCAGGTTTAGCTATCTCCTCGGAATAAGACCCATCAGTGTACCGTCTGTACAAAGCTTTTTTGTAAACACTCCCTATCCGGGTCTTGCCACTTGACAGAAAAACCGACGCATGTCTGTTAAAGGGAGGCATTTAGAGAGAGAAATAAATAAGTAATGGTAATAATTCATTAATCGATAATGTCTATCATACAATCGGTGTACAGATCCATGTTAATAATAATAATAATAATAATACATTCTATAAGAGTGTTAGCCTACAGCACCAAGCACTTACAAAAAGCTTTATCCACATAAAATAAATAAATAAATAGGCTACTACGTGTTGTTTATTAGTTACCTAGCAGCCTATTACAATAAACACAGTAATATAAAATGCCGCCTATTACTTGTACTGTTACTGGTAAACTGATATGCGTCATTTTTACTTACTCGTCTTGCTCAATGCTTCGGTTATTGATAAGGTTTCTGGCGCTGGGTGCGTAATTCCAGTCTTCCTCTCTAATGGCTATATAATAGCTCCTCTTGAGACACTCGGCCTGCTGTAGCGCGAGCACAGCCGTCACAAAAGCGCACAGCACAGACTTCATCGCGTATATCTAAACACAACCATGCATAACCAAAATCCGAGTCCGAGTCAAAAAGAGTCGCACGTAATCGATCTCAAAATGCTACTGCGCACGGAAAATCCAGCCTTGTGTGCGGCTACTGATATCGAAACTGAAAGTTCAGCTCAACGGGCGTTCCTTCATCCTTGGACTCGAACCGGTTTTTCGGAGAGAAGTAAAACTTGGCATCCTCCTCCTCCTCCTCCTCCCTGTAAGAGCTGCACAGGAAGTCATTTGGGTAACGCACACACATGAGCTAGATGGAGATACTCACGGGTGTGATCCTCAAGTTAATGGTCCACCTTGATACGAAGCAGCATTTGTACTGCTGCTGGTGGATACCTTTTTTCCTCTTTTGGTCACCGCAATTCTGTAACATTGAGGCAAAGACATGAGATTTTAGGCTGTAGATGAAGCAGACATTTGTTTAAATAAGACTATAATCCGATTGGAAAACAGCAATCCAACAGGAAACAGAAACATGACAGCTTTGTTCAAACGAAGAAAAAAAACAGCAAACTAAAGAACCAAACCTTGGGCTATAAATACCAGACCAAATGTGACCCTGGACACAAAACCAGTCATAAGGATTATACATCATCTGAAAGCGGAATAAATAAGCTTTCATTGATGTATGGTTTGTTAGGATAGCACAATATTTGGCTGAGATACAACTATTTGAAAATCTGGAATCTGAGGGTGCAAAAAAATCTAAATATTGAGAAAATCATCTTTAAAGTTGTCCAAATGAAGTTCTTAGCAATGCATATTACTAATCAAAAATTAAGTTTTGATATATTTACGGTAGGAAATTTACAAAATATCTTCATGGAACGTGATCTTTACTTAATATCCTAATGATTTTTGCCATAAAAGAAAAATTTATAATTTTGACCCATACAATGTATTGTTGGCTATTGCTACAAATATACCCCAGCGACTTAAGACTGCTTTTGTGCTCCAGGGACACAAATGAGGAACTAAACAAGAAACAGCAGGAAATCAAAAATCATGGAAACCATTAAAAACAGGTGGTAAACATGAACTAGTGAAAACCGAAACAAAGCACAGAATAGAATAAGTACCAGAATAATAGTTTCATAACCAAAAGGAAACTGGTGGCATGTGACAAATATCATTTAGTCACCTAATGAAGATTTACTTATTATTTATTTAAATAAATTTAAATAAATGAATACATTTAAATATATGTAATCATAAAAAGAATATAATGAAATACATTAGCTAAAATTAAACAAAGATTATACATGAAACAGACATAAAAAGGAAGAAAGATTGAGAAAGAATAGTTCAGTGCAATCAGTACAGCACACAAACAGTGTTTAATCAGGAAATGCAGTTAAACAGATGTGTTTTGGATTAAAGCTAGTGACCAACAGGACATCATCTGGAAGCTGATTCCAGCTGCGGGAGGAAGAACAGCTAAACGCCATCTCTCCATGTTTTAAATGAACCCGAACAGACTTGATCCTTGCAGTCTGAGAGCTTTATACTGTATTCAAGCATGTCTGCCAGGTGTTTTGGTCCAAGGCCATTATGGGATTTATATACAATTAAAAGCACTTTAAAATGGAAAAACTGGAAGCCAGGGTAATGACCTAAGAGCCGGGGCGATATGTTGAGTTTTCCTGGGTTTGGTCAGGAGCCTGGCATCAGGGTTTTGTATTAGCTGCGACTGTCTAGTAGTCTTCTTGGGAAGGCCAGTGAGAAGTAAGATGCTGTGATCTATCCTGCTGGCAATGAATGCATGAATAAGCTTCTCTAAGTCTTGCTTGGACACAAAGGATCTGATTTGTGCGGTTTTTTAGATGGTAATTTAGTCATTTTTGATGTGGCTTCTGATGTTAAAATCACAGTCCAGGATGACAACACTAAACAAATAAGCACATTTTTAAAGAAAGATGGAGTGTCCAGTCAACAGGACGTTTTAAGGTGTTGCATGCAAAGTTTTACTATCAAAGTTAGACTAATTTCAGAGCCACAACAGGATTCATTGATCGCCGTTGTAACGTTATGCATTTTATCACTGAAAAATGATGCAAACTTTTTGCATTTCTGAGTAGAAAACAGTTTACTGGGTAGCTAGTTTGGAGGGTTATTTAACCTGTCAACAGTGGTGAGCAGTGTATCTGTGTTACTGACATTCTTGTTTATAACATTTGAAAAGAAGGTCTGTAATAGCTTCGTTTTCCACCTCGTAAGTTCTGCTTTTCTGCATTTTCTTTTCATGCATTGCACTGCTGTTGTGTTTCTCCATGGTGCCTTACACGTGCCTGTACTTTTACTTTTTTTTTTTTTATTAATTGCTGCATTAATTTTAAAGTTAAACTTGTCAAAGACAGCATCAACAGAGTGGTCACATAGATATAGCATTTATGAACAAAACACTAGTGTTCATTCACGTACTGTTGTTTGATTGTGGCTTCTGGCTTCAGTGACAGGGAAGACTGACATATCCCAGACAGAGCTACGTCCTTCATAACAGCGTTTGAGACGTTTAGGCCCTTACAGATAAGCAGATCTAATGATGTGGATGGGTTCTTCCACATGCTGGGTGAAATCAAAGGTGCGCAGAATAGATAAGCAAACTTTTTTGGTGCTATTCGAGTAGCCATTTCATTAGGGTTCATCTTGTCTGACGTAATTCCTGTGTTGCTGTTTGAACTGCTCTGAAACAAGTTGCTTGTTGACACTTTTTGTTTATTGCTCTGTTATTGATTATTAGGGTTATTAACGTGTATATTAAAGTTGCCAGCAATTACAAAACATTCAAATTCAGTGTTAGTTGCAGACGGAAGCTCTGTAAAGTCATCAAAAAAATGCTTGAGAGTATCTTTGTGGCCTGTCAATAATTAGAAATGATATATATATATATATATACACTTGCCCCTTTTAGACTCGCACTCTATTCATTTACTAACTGCTTGTTTTCTTAAAAATAAAATAAACCTATCACTAGCTTCTCTATTCTTTTTGTATTCTATCTATTTGTTTTCTTTTTATTTATTATAAAATTAACAAAAAGCAAAAAAACTAACAAAAATCTTTCTAGAATCTTTCTATTCTATCCGTTTTCTTTTTATTTATTACATTATTTAAAAAACCTTGCTGCGTGTACTGTGTTAAGCTAACTGAGACGTGTTATAGCACTTGTGTATCATTGCTCTTTTGTTAGTTTTGATTGCTTCCATTGTTCTCATTTTTAAGTCGCTTTGGATAAAAGCATCTGCTAAATGTCTAAATGTAAATGTACCAAGATACTCAAGAGATAAGGAATGTCCAAGCGAAATCTGTTTGGTACGCACACACAAAAGAGAAATTTGGAGGGGCTGATTCATTTAAAATTGTTGCACTGCAGCTGTTATCTATTCAAGCTTTATTTAAACACATCAGATCTAAACTGTTTGTAGAGATAAGATAATTGACTAAAAATGATTTGTTCATAAGTGAATGAATTTTAAAAATAGCTAACATTACAGTATTTGTTTCTTCTTCACAGCAATGTTGTAGTGACATCTAATAGGTAGCAGATGACAGACATTTACCGTCTGATTTGCACAGGTCTTTGTCTGTCCTTTAATTATCAAAACATAGATAAGAAGGCCTAAAGGCACACTGTGTTCCTGCTTACTCTGGAAACCTTTGTGAATGTTACTGCTGTGGAGCCCAGCGGACATGACACACAGCATTGTGAGCTGTTATCTCCAGGACTCACAGATGAAGGGTGGTTCAGAGCTGCTTAGGTGGGAGACAAAAACAGATCCCACCCATGAGAGAAGGGACATTTACAAATACAACCACATTCTGGGTGCAACAGTCTGCTCTAACATGGTAAATGAGGTCCCCAAGGTCCAGACCTCTGTATATTTCTGAGGTATATTATATAATACAAGTTGTGAAACAACTGCCTAATATTAACTCTGCTTTGGCACTGCAGGGATATTGCACAATACCAAAATAACAGACTTTCTCATGATCTGCCCCAGCGGTCTAACGTCTAACGTTTGAGATCAAACCAAAGTAGGTGGGCTTAACTGTTCTTCTAAGGTTAAAGGAGTAGTTCACTTCCAGAATGAATGATGAGCACCATTGACTTCCATAGTAGGAAAAAAAAATACTATTGAAGTCAATGGTGCTCATCAACTGTTCAGATACCAACATTTTTCAAAACATCTTCGTTTGTGTTCAACAGAAGAAAGAAACTCATACAGGTTTGGAACCAGTGGAGGGAGAGTAAATGATGACAGAATTTTCATTCTGGAAGTGAACTACTCCTTTAAGGCTCGAATGCCCTGTTGAAAAAACCAGCATATGCTGGGTAGGTATGTTTTGAAGCTGGGATGCTGGTTTGAGCTGGTTTATGCTGGTCCTTTGCTGGTTTATGCTGGTCCTTAGCTGGTCATGTGCTGGTCCTAAATTGGTCAGACCAGCTTAGGACCAGCACATGACCAGCTAAGGACCAGCTTAAACCAGATCAAACCAGCATCCCAGCTTCAAAACATACCTAATCAGCATATGCTGGTTTTGTCAACAAAAACGACTGGGCATGCGCACATCAATATAGCATCATTTTTAAACTCACCTTCACCTAACTGTCTGGTCTCGTCTCTTGCTAACATGCAACATTCGCCTGACACTTTGGATCCCGTTCGCCAATCTTCGCCAGTCTTTCTATAATTTCAATCCAAAATGATGAAAACTGAAACTCGAATGGCAGAAGAAATAAAGAAATGATATATAATGAATTTCTTATTTGAGGTCATTTCTGTTTGGAATATGTGATCGTGTATAGTCAACAATAAACTAGCCTTTTACATATCTCCAGTTTGTAGTGTGGATCAATGCAACATTTAACCTGATTCTCATTAGAATCGGTTATTTGATTGACAAATAATTTATGCTTCTGGCCTTCAAACATCTTAATATGCACATATGTAGATCAGTGAAATCTAAATTTTCCAGGAGCACATGCTCCTGACTTCAATGAACTTCAGCCCTTTTTTGTATTCATAATAGTTGAATATTTTGAAAGGGTTTGTCTACATGCAGGCACAGAACAGCCTTACTTAACATCTTATCTCCACAGCAGTGTCACTCGTGTGATTGATGGACAGACATGAGTTTGTTAAAAAAAAAAAATTCACCCAAAAATGAAAATTTGCTGAAAATGTACTCACCCTCAGGCCATGCAATATGTAAATGAGTTTGTTTCTTAAACAGAATAGATTTGGAGAAATTAAGCATTACATTATTGGTTTGTCTTAAAACTAGCTAAAGACACAAACAAATCAAACACAAAACAACTCAACAATAAAGTGTTTAAATCTCTCTGTGGTAACATTTGTGAAGCAACACCATCACCTAGTGGCTCTCTCTGGATTGGCATTTCATCAGGAATTATTTGTTCAGTATTCAGTGACTTGACTGGTCCTGTCTCTGATTGGTTTCGCTGTTCAGTTGGACTGTAATTTGCATCTTCACTGAGATGTTTCTTTTATATTGTGGTCCACTTGGGTCTTTGGTGGTCACAACATTTCCCCCTGACAACAGTCCCTTAGGTAAAGAAAATATACTTCCTAATATATGAATGATCTATATATTAAATGACATAACGGTATATTAGAAATTATAAAGAATAGTATATTGTGACCCTGGAGCACAAAACCAGTCATAAGGGTCAATTTTTTGTTTTAAAATATATCTGAATAATATCTGAAACCTGAATAAATAATCTTACCATTGATGTATGGTTTGTTAGGACAGGACAATATTTGAAAATCTGGAATCTGAGGGAGCAAAAAAATCTAAATATTGAGAAAATCATCTTTAAAGTTGTCCAAATGAAGTTCTTAGCAATGCATATTACTAATCAAAAATGAAGTTTTGATATAGTTACGGTAGGAAATTTACAAAATATCTTCATGGAACATAATCTTTACTTAATATCCTAATGATTTTTGGCATAAAAGAAAAATGTATAATTTTGAGCCATACAATGTATTGTTGGCTATTGCTACAAATATACCCCAGCGACTTAAGACTGCTTTTGTGCTGCAGGGTCACATATATTACAATATATTGAATAATACATAAGGAATTGCCGCTTTCATATATTGAAAAATATGTGACAATATATTTACTCATATATCACAATATGTAATTTTATATACACATTTATATAATACACATTATAATATATAGATTTACATGTGATAAGATATGGTACTGCATGTGTAAAAATATATACTGAATATATATTTAGTCATGCAGTATATATTCACATATATGGAAATATATATATATATATATATATATTTTAAGCTCAGCAATAATTTATGATATACATGTTTTATATGTTAAAATACAGCTAGTTTACAGTATAGCAAAAGCACACCTGCTCATAATAAAGCACTGACTGTGCTGACAAGTGCACAGCCATTGGTTTTTAAATAAAGTAACATATAATTTAACAGTGTTTGGCCAATCGTCTTCCTGAACACAGACTCTACTCAAACTTACACACACCAGAAACATTTTACATTTCAAAATAATACAACATTAAACGCTAACAGATCTCCCCCTATATTAATATTGAGCAAAAAAACACGACATAACACTTAATTTTAACATTTTTACTCTGCTTTAACAGTCAGAAGCAAAGCATGCTGGGAACGAGAGATCTGCTGTAACTCATTGTGTGAATGTGTGTATATATGTGTACGGGAACATCTATGTGCAATTTATACTCAATAAAGGATAAAACGTTATGAATATTCAATTTTTTTTGTCTCCATTTCTAAATATATTTGTATGTATCAATGCATAGCCATATATTTTCAATGCATATTGCTGGATATTGAAAAATATAAGCAATAGTTTCCAATATAAGGAAATGTATTATGTAATATATCGCATTATATTTTGCATGCAGTTATTTTGCCTTTCAGTGTCTTCCATGTAGCTTCAACTATGATATTGTGAGAACAATTAATTACCATGACAACTAACAAGGGTAACACTGACAACAAACACCAGGAGTGAACACAGAACAAAAGGAACATGGAAACTACAAAATATGAGTCCAGCACAAAACGCAGGAAACATGCAACAATGCGTACAAATGCACGCACAAGATTGTAAACTACCCAGTGCCCCATGTAAGCCTCATAGTCTCTCGTACCATTGGACAGAATAGACATTACTTACCATGGGGAAGGACATAGCCACTATTCACAAGCTTTCACTTTTCAGAAATCTTTATTTTTAAAAAAATATATCCACTAGAAAGAGTATTTTTACAGCCAAGAACAGCAGGTTTATGCTGGGGAAGCACACCTAAAAATAGGCCACTATGGAGACCACATCCTACCTGTAGGGAAGTGACATGTGGAGGATACACACATGGACTGACCCACAGGACAGTACTACATATGAAATGAAGCTCATTCCACACAGGGAACCATATGGGCACCTAGCCCAGTACAGGGGATGAGCAACCATGCTGTACTGAGCCTGGCGTTAAGCTTGATGGAGGTGAGCGATGTCTTTAAAGACAAAATCTTAAGCTCGACTGACTCAAGAGGCTCAAAGGGAGTTCTCTGCACACAAGAAAGGACCACAGAGAGATCCCAAGAGGGGAAGAGGTGTGGTATTAGAGGATTTAGCCTTCTGGCATCTCTCAGAAACCTGATGATCAGATTGTGCTTCCCCAAGGACTTACCCACGCCGTCCACTGCGTCGTGATGTGACGTGACAGCAGTGACATACACTTGTCGGTGGAGGGGGACAAACTCCGCTCCAACCTCTCTTGCAAAGCGGAAAGCACAGAGCTGATCAGGCATCTCAATGGGTCTTTCTGTTGGGAAGAACACCACTCAGTAAACAGACACCATTTCAAGGCATAAGCTTGCCTGTTAGAGGGAGCTCTGGCTCAAGCGATAAGTCCTCCGCGTCCTGTCCAGGAGCCACTCGTGGAGGATCCAGAAGTCTGGATGTAGGTGCCAGATGGTGGTCCTTCCCTGAGAAGGAAGGTCCTTCCTCTGAGGAATTCACCAGGGAAGGGCTGTCACGAAGAGTCCTGAGAACCAGGTCTGGGTGGGCCAGCCAGGTGAGAGCATGTTGGCGGTCACCCTCCATGAGACAGGGACAGCCCAAAGCGGAGGACCTTGTACTGGTATGCCCGAACATTGAAAGCAAACTGAAAAAATAGCCTGTGTCGAAGAAAAAGCGAGACGTGGATGTATGCGTCTTTCAGGTCGATCGGATTTCAGAATGCATTTCTGTGTCAACATCCTGAAAGGGAGCTTGTGCAGGACCTGGTTCAAGACTCGCAGATCCAAGATAGGCTGTAACCCCCACCTTTCTTTTGTACAATGAAGTCTGTGAAGTCAAGATTAACACCATTTTACCCTATATATATATATATATATATATATATATAAATCACTTTGATGCTGTGCAAATGAAATAATGCAAAACGAATCTATGAAAATTTTATATATAACATTTACTTAAATCATTCACCTAAAGGTAAGATAAAATAAAATATAAACTAAATTGGAAAAATGGACCCACATATGTGACCCTGGAGCACAAAAGCAGTCTTAAGTCGCTGGGGTATATTTGTAGCAATAGCCAACAATACATTGTATGGGTCAAAATTATCCATTTTTCTTTTAATGCCAAAAATCATTAGGATATTAAGTAAAGATCATGTTCCATGAAGATATTTTGTAAATTTCCTACCGTAAATATATCAAAACTTAATTTTTGATTAGTAATATGCATTGCTAAGAACTTCATTTGGACAACTTTAAAGATGATTTTCTCAATATTTAGATTTTTTTGCTCCCTCAGATTCCAGATTTTCAAATAGTTGTATCTCAGCCAAATATTGTCCGATCCTAACAAACCATACATCAATGGAAAGCTTATTTATTCAGCTTTCAGACTATGTATAAATCTCAATTTAATAAAATTGACCCTTACGACTGGTTTTGTGCTCCAGGGTCACATATATTGCGCAAAAAAGGACAGTTTATAAGCCGACATTTGGAGGAATGGGTTGAATAACAATGAACAAGGTAATTTGTTTAACCAAATAAATGCATGTACAAAA